GAGCTCATTCCCATCACCAATGGAGGACTCTCTATGATCTGAGCTCATTCCCATCACCAATGGAGGACTCTCTATGATCTGAGCTCATTCCCATCACCAATGGAGGACTCTCTATGATCTGAGCTCATTCCCATCACTGGTGATCTAGGAATTCTGGTCATGTGTAGAAAGAAGATGACTCCGGACAGAATATTGTGTAGAACGTTCTGGTTTATTCTAGGAGATCACAAGAAGCGTTGAGACACGATAAAACGATTCTTGATTCTAAATCAAATCTCATATAGCTGCAGTAATACGATAATATATTGTATGAAGAATAATTAATTCGGTTTAACCGATATAAATCCAGTTTCTTCGTTAAAGCAAAAGAAGAGAAATGAAGTGCAGAAGCCAAAAGCAACTTATAGTTTTATTTGGTGAAAGATGAATCCGGATTGGACTGGATGTTGCTGCCCTTAGCTATAAACTGCTCCCGTTGCTTCTTTGTTGCCCGTGTATTGGTGTGGTTGTCCTTTCATGGTCACGGTGGCCTGTTTGTTGGCCATGTATTGGTGTGGTTGTACTTTCATGGTCAAGGTGGCCTGTTTGTTGGCCATGTATTGGTGTGGTTGTCCTTTCATGGTCACGGTGGCCTGTTTGTTGGCCATGTATTGGTGTGGTTGTCCTTTCATGGTCGTGGTGGCGTTTGTTGGCCATGTATTGGTGTGGTTGTCCTTTCATGGTCGCGGTGGCCTGTTTGTTGGCCATGTATTGGTGTGGTTGCCATTTCATGGTCACGGTGGCCTGTTTGTTGGCCATGTATTGGTGTGGTTGTCCTTTCATGGTCACGGTGGCCTGTTTGTTGGCCATGTATTGGTGTGGTTGTCCTTTCATGGTCGTGGTGGCGTTTGTTGGCCATGTATTGGTGTGGTTGTCCTTTCATGGTCGCGGTGGCCTGTTTGTTGGCCATGTATTGGTGTGGTTGCCATTTCATGGTCACGGTGGCCTGTTTGTTGGCCATGTATTGGTGTGGTTGTCCTTTCATGCTAGCGGTGGCCTGTTTGTTGGCCATGTATTGGTGTGGTTGTCATTTCATGGTCGCGGTGGCCTGTTTGTTGGCCATGTATTGGTGTGGTTGCCATTTCATGGTCGTGGTGGCCTGTTTGTTGGCCATGTACTGTCCTTATTACCAGCGTGTCGCCATATTGACCCGTGTTTCATCACAGTTTAGTACTGTTGTGTCATCTGTGTGAGTGTGTTGGGTTTCCTATGTGAGGGACTGATGGGCCATTTTACTAAAGGACTATGAGTGGTTTGCAATTTGCAGCACTGGGGTCCCCAGTAGGGGTGATCTGAAGTTCTGACACAACCTAGTCCAAACCCGAGCCCCTGCAAACATGCAGGAGGAAGCTACTTCTGCTGCTGCCCAATCAGCTGCGGCTGGGGAATTCCCTGGCCGCGGCTGCACATCAGCAGGGGCTGGATGACTTGAGGTAATTGACCTTATACGTCCACATGGATATTTTTGGTCAATGACCTCTTTTTTTAATGCAGGGAATGGCCCTACCCGCAGCTGTTCGGGCTGCACTTCTGTGTTCGAAGGAGGCTTAGTCCAAACCTGAGCTCATCCCTAGTCCTCAGTCTGAATCCCATCCAGGATACCAGGCTTAGTCCAAACCTCAGCTCATCCCTAGTCCTCAGTCTGAATCCCATCCAGGAGACCATCTGCATGGAGTTTGCATGTCCTCCATGTGCTTAGGGGGGATTTCTTCTGGACACCACAGTTTCCTCAAACACTGCAAAGACATAGTGGTAGGTCAATGGCTTCCTGTCTAAAATGGCCTGTGTATGTAAGTAAGAGATTGGCCCATGTATGCATGTATGTATGTATGTGAGATATGGATCTTAGCTTGTAAGTTCCTTGGGGGCGGGGCATGACGTAAATGTACAGTATGTAAAGTGCTGAGTAAATGGTCGGCGCTATATAAATGGTTATAATGATAATTTTAATCTGCAACTACCAAGCCATGCCGTGGAAAAAAAAATTTCAGCATGCCTGCCACGTACTCAATGTCTCGCAGGGCACATGACTTGGGTCCATCTTCCCCCGGAAAAAAATAATACTTCTAGTTCCCGGGTCTGCACACTTTTGCCATGGCCATTATGAGGGGGCTCCTGCTCTTCCTGCTGGGTTTTCATCATATACTATGGAAGATACAAAAAGATGAACAAGGATGACCCTGTGTGGGAAGAAAGAGAGCCGGGAGATGTAGCAGGCAGATGTCCTCAGTGAGGTCTTCAAGAAATAGAAGTCACCCCTACTGTAAATACAATGTATCTCTGGCCAGAATGTTCCCCTTTCACCAGAGATTGATCCATGGCCTGAACAGTTGCACTTGGTAAAGAAATCAGCAGGGGTGTGTTTTCTGATGTTTAATAAGATTTCCTTTATACGAAAAACTTTTCCCGCATTAAAAGCACTCTTACGAGTGTGACTTGCTCATTGTCTAAGAAGACTTCCTTTCTCGGTCATAAGTTTCCTCCATCTGTACCGATAGCCTGTGTGATTTCAGGGCCGTTAGCCTGTGTGATTTCTCTGGTGCCTAAGGAGGTCTCCTCTATGTATGAAACTCTTCCCGCACTCTAAACACGAGAAAGGGCGTTCGCCGGTGTGACTCTTCTGGTGTCTAACAAGGGTTCCTTTGTCGATGAAACCTTTCCCACACTCAGTACAGGAAAAAGGACGCTCGCCCGTGTGATTTCTTAGGTGAATCACAAGTGCATTTTTCAGAATGAAACCTTTCCCGCACTCGGAGCATGCGTAAGGACGCTCGCCTGTGTGAATCCTCTGGTGTATAACAAGGTCTCTTTTCTGAATGAAACATTTCCCACAGTCTGAACATGAATAGGGGCGCTCGCCAGTGTGACTTCGGTGGTGTATGACGAATGCTGATTTCTCATTGAAACTTTTCCCGCACACTGGGCACGAATAAGGGCGTTCACCGGTGTGAATTCTCTGGTGGGTAAGGAGTACTTTTTTAACGCTAAAACTTTTACCACACTCAGAACATGTATAAGGGCGCTCTCCAGTGTGAATTCTCTGGTGTATAACAAGGGCCCCTTTCTGAGTGAAAGATTTTCCACAGTCAGAACATGAAAAAGGACGCTCCCCCGTGTGACTTCTCTGGTGCTTAAGAAGGTCTCCTTTATAGATGAAACGTTTCCCGCACTCTGAACATGAAAATGGACGCTCACCCGTGTGAATTTTCTGGTGTGTAAGAAGTTTTTCTTTCTCAATAAAAGATTTCCCGCACTCTGAACAGGAATGGGGACGCTCACCCGTGTGAACTTTCTGGTGCATGAGAAGCTTTCTTTTCTCAATGAAACCTTTCCCACACTCTGAACAAGAATAGGGACGCTCAGTCTTGTGAATTCTCTTGTGTCTACGAAGTGGTCTCCTTCCAGTGAAAGTTTTCCCGCACACTGGACATGACAGTGAATTCTCTACTTTCTGAACTCCTTCATGACTCGAAGAAGATTCCTTGGGGTTAGATGGCCCTGTTGATCTCTCCGCACTCTTGGATTTTAGATGGCTTTCTGAAGTCTGTGACTGATCAGAAGATTTCTCAGGCTTAGATGGATCCATCGATCTCCCTGAATGGGAAGGCCTGTGATTAACAGTATGAGTAATGGGATTCACTCCTGGAGAATATTGTGTGATGGCGTTATCTTCTGCGTTATAATGTTGTGATAAAACAAGATGTCCTTCAGAAGTATTCCAGACGTAGTGCCCATCTGTGGAAAAACAAGTTATAAGTTAGAATGTTTCATGGTGTCCAGTATCTCCTCATTTGTTGGTCACATGACGTTATATTGAGGAATGGAGATGGACCTTCATATGTTGTACAGTATCTCCTCCTCATTTGTTGGTCACATGACGTTATATTGGGGAATGGAGATGGACCTTCATATGGTGTACAGTATCTCCTCCTCATTTGTTGGTCACATGACGTTATATTGAGGAATGGAGATGGACCTTCATATGGTGTACAGTATCTCCTCCTCATTTGTTGGTCACATGACGTTATATTGGGGAATGGAGATGGACCTTCATATGGTGTACAGTATCTCCTGCGCATTTGTTGGTCACATGACGTTATATTAGGGAATGGAGATGGACCTTCATATGGTGTACAGTATCTCCTGCGCATTTGTTGGTCACATGACGTTATATTAGGGAATGGAGATGGACCTTCATATGGTGTACAGTATCTCCTGCGCATTTGTTGGTCACATGACGTTATTTTGGGGAATGGAGATGGGCCTTCATATGGTGGACAGTATCTCCTGCGCATTTGTTGGTCACATGACGTTATATTGGGGAATGGAGATGGACCTTCATATGGTGTACAGTATCTCCTCCTCATTTGTTGGTCACATGACGTTATATTGAGGAATGGAGATGGACCTTCATATGGTGTACAGTATCTCCTCCTCATTTGTTTTTGGGTTTGAAGTAACCGTGTAAATAAAAATAGTTTTATATATGAGTAAAATGTGAACAGTTTCTGAATTTCATATTTATGACTTACTTGTGCCGATATAAAGAGAAGATTCCTCCGGTTTGCATTTCACGTTCACCTTTTCCTCCTCCGTAGACTGCTGAGCTCCACTCACCAACGTCTCTTCTTCTTCCTCTTTAATCTCAGCTTTGATGTCTTTCACTTCTTCATCCTAAACCCCCAAAAATGATAGAATACATTTGTAAAAAGAAACAAGAGATTACAAAGAAAAGTGTCATCCCATAGATTAGTTCTAGATACCAATCACCTACCTGATCATGGTGAGGGACGGTGAGATCTTGCTGTGTGGGATCCCGGGAATACAGAGGACGGGGACATCTCTCTGGTGGGTTCCTCTTACTGGATCCATCTGTAGGAAACACACACACTGACTGAATACATTGTTTCTATGTGTGTATCAGATGATGGGGGATGTAGGCGGAGCCACCGTACTGCTCTCTCCTCTTACCCGGTGATGTGAGGGGCGGCTGGTCCTCCATCTTGACGTCCTTATGTCCTTCTAAACACTCCCACTCCTCCATGGAGAATTTGTAGAGATCCCGGTGTCCTTCTAAAGGCTCCTCCATGTAGAATCAGACAGATATGCCGACACCTTATAGGAACCTGACACACACAATGATACAGTCACCTTGTATCTCCTCACCACTGTTTATATCTGTTGTCAGGCAGTGAGGTGGAAGCTCTGTGATGGGTGATGTCCCATGAATACAGGTGCTGGGCCCTAATGGCTCATGAGATAGGGTCCTCAGTGGTTCATAGTCCTGTGTGAAGACAGAAAGTAATAATTGTCACTCCTGACCTCCGAGGATCCTCCTCATCTATACAGGACTCTCCTCTCTGCAGAAAAATAATAAAGTGAGAATTATCTGGACTGAAATGAATAAGGTCTGCATATTGTTCCTCCAAAGTTCTGACACCTCAGAAGTAATGGATCCTCCACTGACATAGTGTGAGGTTCAGAATTGCAACATCACTTCCATCAAATCCCCAAAATCAGGAGCTTCATCCCTACTTCTATTTCCTGTAGGATGATCATTCCTTCCGCTGCCGGGATTAGAACTTGTACTGTAGATCCGTCTTCTTCTTCCCCATATCTTCCTCCAGAGAAGACCTGACGTCCATTATAGAGGAGAGCCAACAACCCCGAGGCAGCTTTATGGAAGATGGATAAATGACTATATTTAGGATGTATCCGGTCTATAAATGGCGGCTCTGGATGGACGGTTGGATAAATGGCTCTATATTTATAATGTATCCGGTCTATAAATGGCGGCTCTGGATGGACAGTTGGATAAATGGCTCTATATTTAGGATGTATCCGGTCTATAAATGGCGGCTCTGGATGGACAGTTGGATAAATGGCTCTATATTTAGGATGTATCCGGTCTATAAATGGCGGCTTTGGATGGACAGTTGGATAAATGGCTCTATATTTAGGATGTATCGGGTCTATAAATGGCGGCTCTGGATGGACGGTTGGATAAATGGCTCTATATTTAGGATGTATCGGGTCTATAAATGGCGGCTCTGGATGGACAGTTGGATAAATGGCTCTATATTTAGGATGTATCCGGTCTATAAATGGCGGCTCTGGATGGACAGCTGGATAAATGGTTCTATATTTAGGATGTATCCGGTCTATAAATGGCGGCTCTGGATGGACAGTTGGATAAATGGCTCTATATTTAGGATGTATCCGGTCTATAAATGGCGGCTTTGGATGGACGGTTGGATAAATGGCTCTATATTTGGGATGTATCTATGTAGATATTATAATACTCTACATATGTGTGTAGCAGCATGTGCTGAAGATAAAAGACGTCACAGTGACTATGGAGGACGGACATGACCGGGGGGGGGAGGGTTACCGGGTGTAAATATAAAGAATATCTTATTACCTCCTCTCTGCTGCTGGTTGCAGGAATATCTCCCCTCTACTTCCTCCAGGCTTCGCTTTCTGACAGCTTCCTGCCTTTGTTTGGTATCACTTCCTGCTTGTCTGTGACATCACTTCCTGTCTTCTGCGTTCCACTGACATGCAGTGAGCTCACCACCTTGTGGAGAACAAACCAAGTGCAATCCTTTCACAGCTTCAGCCGCAGTTGTCACCCGCAGTTGTTCGTTATTAGTTACGTTGGTACGGATTCACGGTGTGCAGCTTGTTTGCGGGATTCATTTTCCCGATCTCCGCCTGGTCTTTCGGCTCGGTAGTTCGTAGTTTATATGACTCGGGACTTGATTTTGATGTACAAAATGTTGGGCGGTGATGGTAACGTCGGCAATAAACTTTTTTTTACTGTAACAAGGACTAGAGGCCGCCACCGAAAACTGGTGGAGAAAAGATTTAACCACAAGGGGGGGGCGGGGGAGGGGATTCTTCTCAATCATTTTTGGAACTCTCTTCCACAAGCCGCGGTGTCAGCTGAGAGTATTGATTCGTTCAATAACCATTTAGATCCTTTCCTCAGAGACCGTAACATACGCCGAGTGGCCAGATCATTATGCCCCTCCCCCCATCAGTACTTCGTTGGGCCGCCTTTCGCCTTCAATACTGCGGCGATTCTTCTCGGCGTTGACTCCGCGAGACGGTGAAAGGTGATGCGAGGAATATGACGCCTGATGAATAGCGCCGTCCGGTTCTGTGAGATTTGATGGTTGTGGAACCAGCCGCCTGATTGGCTCTTTCAACTTCGTCCCACAAATGCCGCAATTGAGATCTGGTGATTGCGGGGGCCACCTAAGCGAGGTGAAGTCTCCCTCGTGTTCCTGAAGCCGCTCCTGCACAATACGAGCGCCGCGGCACGGCGCATTGTCTTGTTGGAAGAAGCCTTCTCCATTGGGATACGCCATCAACGTGATCGGAGGAACTTGATCGGCGACGATACTTTGGTATGTTGTGCTACTCAGACGAATTAAAGGGCCCAAATCATGCCGGGAAAACACGCCCCCAAACCATAACACCGCCCCCACCAGCTGGAAGGGTTGTACTCGTGCGTGTGGGGTGCATGCTTCCATGCGGTTCCCGCCAAATTCTCACTCTGCCATCTGCATGATGCAACTGGAAACGTGATTCACCGGACCACATGACCTCCAATGCTCGGCTGTCCAATCCTTGTGTCCCTGTGCCAATTGGAGACGTTTTATCTTGTTACCTGCAGACAGCAAAGGTGTTCCAACCTTCGTCTTCCACATCCCATACGACGCAGAGTACGGCGAACAGTGCGTTCAGAGATCATTGGAGAGGATCCCCGATTAATATCTGCAATCATTTGATGCACTGTTACCCTTCTGTTGTCTTGTACCAGTCTTGCCCCTCCCCCGTTCTGCCCTAACATTGACTAGTTGCTGACGGCCACAATTCGCACGCTCAGACCCAGATTTTCGGCTGACAGTCCGGTCTTTAAACACTTTAACAATGAGCCGCTCCTGAACATGTAACGAATTCTGCTGTTTTGCTGATACTCGCTCCATGGCTCCGAGCGCCAACAATCATCCCCCGTTCCCAGGCTGGTATATCGCGTTGTTTCCCCGAATCTTCCCAATCACTTCTACTGTCGTGGTAACCAACCCGCTATTGTCTTGTACCAGTCTTGCCCCTCCCCCGTTCTGCCCTAACATTGACTAGTTGCTGACGGCCACAATTCGCACGCTCAGACCCAGATTTTCGGCTGACAGTCCGGTCTTTAAACACTTTAACAATGAGCCGCTCCTGAACATGTAACGAATTCTGCTGTTTTGCTGATACTCGCTCCATGGCTCCGAGCGCCAACAATCATCCCGCGTTCCAAGGCTGTTATATCGCGTTGTTTCCCCGAATCTGCCCAATCACTTCTACTGTCGTGGTAACCAACCCGCTTCCCTATTTATAATGGTCCGGCCCTCTAGCAACCTCAGCGCCAAATTATAGATCATTTGCCTACAAGATTTTGCCCCCAGCCAATCAAAAGGTCTGGGGGGTATGTTGGAGGGGGTGCTGGGAGTGTTTTATAATGCTCCAGCAGGACACACCCTTAAAGGAGAACTATAAGGTCAGGGCTTTCCCCATAGTTCTCCTTAGGGTGACGGGAGGACACAAACTAGCGTCCTCCCGTCACCCTAAGCTCAGTATATAGGGAGCTACAGCTCGCGGTATACTGAGTAGACATGTGCGATTCGTTTCCTTACGAATCGAAATTCGTACAAATTTTCCTGAAATTCCTAAATTCGGAAGCATCCGAAATCCGAATGGCAGTTTCCGAATTTATATCCGAAATACGAAATTCCGTTAACGAATTTCGGATCCGAATTTCTTTGAAACGGGAACTAATATTACCCCTGTAAATGAGGTTGAACAACATGACAAGATTTTTTTTAATCCGAGATTCGGATCCGCTGCTGCTGAGAGTCGCATTACAATACACACACAGGCAGGAAATACGAAATTCCGTTGACGTATTTTCGTTCCGTTACGAACATTCGTTATATTGAAGTTAAAAAGCAAAGTACATTTATATCGGAGTTGACGGTATTTTTTTTAAAGTCCGAAATACGAAATTCGGAATACGAAATAAAAAGAACAACGACCACATCGACTCCGATATTAACAAAGGTATTTTTGCTTTTTAACTTCATCATAACGAATGTTCGTAAAGTTACGAAAATATAACCGCCACTAACGAAAATTCGTATTTCGTCCGAATCCGAATTGAGTTCAGTTACGAAATGCGAAATAACGGATATTCCGAAACGAAACAGAACGAATTTTTTGACGGCGCACAAGTCTAATACTGAGACGCCGCAGCTGAAACGGATCCCGACACTTGTGCCGGGATCCGCCCAGCTGCGTGACTGACAGCCTATCTAGAGGCAGAGCCAGCTGTACCCGCCCCCTCCCCAGTCAGCGCTGGAGGATCGGAGCGGGGAGAGGGGAATACAGCCCCTCCCCCTGTCACGGCAGAGAGCTGTGACAGGATCGAGAAGTGAGCGAACGCCGGTATGTGTTCGCTCACCTCCCGATCTACTGAGCCGACCTGTGACAGTCTCAATGTCACAGGTCGGCTAGAACTACGAGGTGAGTGAAAAGCCCCTCCCCCCCCTCATAGTTCTCCTTCAATACCGCCTGTCATGGGAACATCTGTATTCATATATGACAAGATTTCACGATGTTATACAGCAGAATGAAATTATGATTTGTTAGATACCAAATATGATATTATTATTATACGGGGTTTATATGGCGCCAACAGTGTGCGCAGCGCTGTACAATATAAGGAAGACATTACAATCACAAGACAAGATGGTAA